TAGATAGATAGATAGATAGATAGATAGATAGATAGATGATAGATAGATAGATAGATAGATAGATAGATAGATAGATAGATAGATAGATAGATAGATAGAACGAGAACAAAGCAAAAAGAAACACCCACCCTGAAAAACAACAAAAACAAGAAAAGGTTATTAAAATATGGACTGGCTTATGCATAATCATTATCATACCCCAGAGGTAAACCCTGGGTATAATTGAATGTGAGACTGTCACTGTTGTACTACACAACAAGAGCATGCTTACTAGGACCAAGTTCTTGGTTTACTTCTGCGTGATCTCTGCGTGTTACTTCACTGGTTTGTTTTTGTTGCTGTTGTTGTTTGTTTTTATGAGACAGTAGCCTTGGCTGTCCTGGAACTCACTCTGTAGACCAGGCTGGCCTCGAACTCACATCCACCTGCCTCTGCCTCCCAAGTGCTGGGATTAAAGGCGTGCACCACCACCGCCTCACTAAATAGAGTTTTTGTTTTCTTTTGAGACAGAGCCTCTCTACCTAGCCCTGGCTGTCCAGGAACTCCCTCTGTAGACCAGCCTGGCCTTGAACTCAGAGATGCACCTGCCTCTGTCTCCTGAATGCTAGGACCAAAGGCGTGTGAAACTATGCCCATCTTACTTCACTGTATTTTCCAGTTCCTTTCTGTTGTGCAAATAGTCTGACAGAAAGCAACTGAGGGGAGGAAAGGGTTTATTTGGCTTACACTTACAGGGCACAGTCCGCCACTGAGGAAAGTCAGGGCAAGATCTCAAGCAGGAGTGTGAAGCAGAAGCCACAGAGGAACGCTGCTTGCTGAATCACTTCAGCTACCTTTTGGTTATGTTTGAGACAGGGTTTCACTGTGTAGCCTTGGCTGGCCTGGAACTCACTGTGTAGACCAGGCTAGCCTCAAACTCAGAAATCTGCCTGCCTCTGCCTCCAGAGTGCTGAGATGAAAGACATTAAAGACACCAAAATAGGTTCAGCTAGTTTCTACAGTCCAATGCCTCCTTCCTAGGGGATGGTGCCACCCATAGTGGGCTGGGTTCTTCCCACTCAGTTATCAAGAAAACCCCCTACTGCCTTGTTGGTGTGATGATCTTATCTAGGGAATTCCTCAACGGAGGCTGTCCTTCTCAGATGACTCTAGACTGTACCAGAATGGGACTGGAGAGACAGCAGAGTGGTTAGGGGTGTGTGTAACTGCACTTCCAAATGACCTGCCTTTGCTTTCTCAAATCCACAGCAGATGGCTTACAATTGCCTGTATGAATCCCACTCTCTTCTGGCCTCTGGGGTTACCAGAATACACATGACATACACACATACAGACACATAACGTTTTTTAAAGACGTATTTATTTATTTACTATGTATACAGTGTTCTGTCTGCATATATGCGCCTGCACACCAGAAGAAGGCATCAGATCTCATTATAGATGGTTATGAGCCAGCATGTGGTTGCTGGGATTGAATTCAGGACCTCTGAAAGAGCAGCCAATGCTCTTAACTTCTGAGCCATCTCTCCAGTCCCTACATAATTTTTTTAAAAAAAACTAACTAGGACATTATTAGAATCTCTTTTCTAAAATGGGGACAGCAGTACCCATGTGAAAGAGATGTAGTGAAACAAGTGATGAGAACTTTGAATATGGCCTAGTGTTATTGTTGGCACAGGGTCCCACACACCCCAGGCTGGGCCTGAACTCACAAAGAATGACCTCAAACTTCTGATCTTTGGACCTGTAACTCCCAAGTGCTGGGATTACAGGCACATGCTATCTACCACACACCCAATTAATGCAGGCTCTATGACTTGAATCCATAGCTTCATGCATGCTAGGCAAACACTCTACCAACTGAGCTACAGCTCCAGTCCCCACAATAGCTACAGTCCCCTACTGTAATGCACACTAAAACCTTCAGCCTGGGGGCTGGAGAGATGGCTCAGAGGTTAAGAGCACTGGCTGCTCTTCCAGAAGACTGGTGTTCAATTCCTAGCACCCACCTGGCAGCTCACAACTCTCTGTGACTCCAGTTCCAGGGGATCTGACACCCTCACACCAATGCACATAAAATAAAATTAAATGAATTAAAAAAAATAAAAAACAAAAAACTTCAGCCTGATGCCTGACAGTGGTGGTATAGGCCTTTAATCCTAGCACTCCAGAGGAAGAGGCAGGCAGATCTATAAGTTCTAGGCTAGCCTAGTCTTCAGAAGGAGTTCCAGGACAGCCAGGACTACACAGAGAAATCTTGTCTTGAAAACAAACAAACAAAAGCCTTCAGCCTGAAGTAGTGGTACATATATTTAATTTCAACACTCAGGAGGCAGAGGCAGGCAGAACTTGTGGGTTCCTGGCTGGCCTGGTTTACATAGCAAGTTCCAGGACAGCCAAGGCAACATAGAGAGACCCCATCTCAGTCACTCCCCAAAACCAAAACCAAACTTTCAGAGATGACATATGGGTAGAATTTTTTCTTGTAAAATATCCTGTCCTGGATCTCCCCAGTTCATTGTTGGGGTGTGTGTGTGCACACTTGTGCATGTGAGCATGGGTATGTACATGTAGAGGCAATTATTCAGTATTAGGTAGGGTTCTTCCTTTTTTTTTTTTTTTTTTTTTAAGGCAGTGTTGCTCATTGGCCTGGAACACATATTGTAGGTTATGTTAGCTGGCCAGTGAGCCCCAGAAATCTGTCTCTACCTCCCAAATGCTGGGATTTTAGGTGTGGGCCACTACACGCAGCTTTTCAAAACCATGGCTTTGAAAGATCAAACTCAGGTCCTTAGGCTGTTGCTATAATCACTTTAGCCTAGTGATTCCTTCTTTACACTTTATAGAGACCAAATACTTGAGAACCCGAAACCAGTTACCACCATGATAATGGGGTGGGGGGATGGGGGTGGGGAGGGAGAAAAACCCAGAAGAGTTAAAATGCATTCTTGCTGTTCTCTTTTAATTGGAAGCCCTAAAAAGACATCCCTACTTGGAAACTACTTACTTAATAATTAATTACTGAGGAAAAGACTGAAGCAGGAAACTTAAACACTATCAAAAAAGTCCTGTTGACCAACATGGAGGAACTCAGTTACAGTTGAAAATACTTTTAACAGGTCTTTCAGGTTTCCTGTAAAAAATAAGAAAGAAACAAAAGTCAATCATTCCCCCACGTCTCACAAAGAGCATTAGAAGTTATTAGTTTGTTTTTTTTTTTTTTTCCCTTTGAGATGAGATGTTACTCTAGCCCATGGTGATCCGAAACTCAAAACAAAGCCCGGGGTGGAGTCCAACTCATGATCCTCCTGCCTCTGCTTCCTGAGTGCTAACATAACAGGTCAGAGCCATTAGTGGGTTGTTGTTATTTGTTTTAGACAGGGTCACAAGTAGCCCAGGCTGGCCTCCAACTGTGTAAACAAGGATAACATAAACTTTCGATCCTCCTTCCTCTACCTTCCTAATGCTAAGGTTCTTCGAATGGGTCCCATGTAGACAGTGCTAGTGATTGATCCTGGAATCTTACGCACACTGAGTGTTCAACTCTCAACTGAGCTGGTTCTCAGCCTCCCCGTTTCTGTCTCATGGAGGCCTCAAAATGACTATGGAGCCAATGACCTTGAACTTTTTTAAAAAACTTTTTCATTTAAAAAAAAATTATGTGTATGTGTTTGCTCGAATATAGGTGTATGACATGCATGCAGTATCCTCAGTGGCCAGAAGAGGGTGTTGGATCCCCTTGAACTGGAGCTACAGATGGTGATGAGGCACCTGATGGAGGTGGGGGGCGGGGAACCAATCCTGGGTCCCCTGCAAGGACAAGTGCTTCAACAGCTGAGCCAGCTGCAGTCTCTGACCTTGAACCTGACTCCATCTTCACTTTCCTAGGGCTAAGAGGTGTACAGGTATATTATAGGTGTATAGATGTATTATAGGTGTATAGGTGTATTATAGGTGTACAGGTATATTATATTATAGGTGATAGGTATATTATAGGTGTATAGATGTATTGTAAGTGTATAGGTATATTATAGCGTATAGGTGTATTATAGGTGTATAGGTATATTATAGGTGTATAGGTATATTATAGGTGTATAGATGTATTATAGGTGTATTATAGGTGTATAGGTAATTTATAGGTGTATAGGTATATTATAGGTGTATAGGTATATTATATTATAGGTGTATAGATGTATTATAGGTGTATAGGTATATTATAGGTGTATAG